CTTGTACTGCACAGCATGGGATATTCTCATGATAGACAGGCTGGTTTTAGCCAGAGCCCCTTTTAGCAATTCTGTTGAACTGAAGAGTGAGATGCTCCCTCTTAGCTTTTGCAGCATAATGAGCTGATTTTCAGGAAAAAAGAAAAACAAAAGCTGGAAGTTTGGCAAGGATAATCTCTATTTATATTTACATACAAAAAGAGGCAAGGCTTACTGTTGTTGCGTTCACATTGTACTCACTGCTACTTACTCTGTGTAATTTGAGTGCTTGTTGTCTTTGTACAATTTTAAAGTCGTGTCTAACTTTCAAAATATTTTTATTTTAACAAAGTTTCTCACTGTAATAGTGCTGTTAGAGTTTAGTCTCTTTTGGTCTGATGAAGATGCTTTATTTTTGTTTTGGTGGTAGGGATGTTTTGTTGATGGTGAGTGGCCACAGAAATGGTTTTATTTAAAAAAATAAGTCATGAACTTATGATTAGATACTAGAGTGAGGCTGAAGAAACCCGGGTCCTGCAGTGCCACAAGACTTCCTGTAGGAACAGTAAGACCAGAGTAAGTGATTTAAGTTTTTATATTAAAACAATACTGAAGAGAAATACTTTACATTGTAAAGTTTTCACTTGGTAATGAAAAAACAGTCTCTTTGAAAAAAATAAAGGTATTCCTTTTTTTATAGAATTTATGCATAATCTCTTATTTTACCAATCAACTGGATTAAGAACTTGTGGTAGTTCCCATAGAGTGGTGTAATATAAGACACAAAAATGGATGGGGACAGGAAAATTTAAGGAGCTGCTGCTGTAGCCTAAGGTAACATCAGATATTGAAGGATTTGGTTGATTTACCTGTGCAATGACACTGTTTCAGGACTGGTTATACAGAACCTCTGCTTCCTGTCACTCCAGATTTTCTTCATGGTGACAGAAATTCCCTACTGATGCCTTCTGCTCCAAGTGAATACCAGGTGGAATGATTTTTGTACATTTTGACACTGCAGTAAACCATTTGTAGTACAGGATCTTGCAGCTACCCAAGGCCTCAGATGTTTGCAGGAAGGGCTTCTGCAATGTGGAAGAATCCAAAAAGGTCACAGTTTGATTTCTCTCCCTTGGAGACTTCATGAAAATTGAGCAAATAACATCAACCCATCAAAAATTATCATCAAGTGTGGGTTTGGTTGTTTACACATTTCTTTTTTCTGAATTCTGACCTGTCTTTGACATCTGAGGATGGATCAACGATAAATTCAGGCAACCTCTTGACTGATGAATTTATGAACCATAATTTTCTCATTTTCAGTCATTTCCAGGTCACAGCACATTAAGATCAAGTGCTTTTTGTTGTGAAATGGAAAAGCAGAATAGAAATAAACATACCCTTTGTAAAATTTTCTTGTGTGGACAATTTGTGTATGAAACAGCACATGCACACTTGCAAAATCAATGTATCAGTCAGGGTTTCTGTAGAAGCTGATGCAGAACCAGGTGAAGCAAATATTTAAAGTTCAGTAATTAGGCCATGCTAAATTCTGATGGTGACATTTTACCTTTTTAACTGAATCAAGGCAGATCAATCCATATCCAGGATGCAGCAGGATCAAGTGCACACAGCTTTCAGGCCACAGTGATATTGATAATTGGGTCTGACATTTGTTATTTGCATAGGCTGGAGGAGAATCTCTGACAGTTCTGCTTTTTTTTTCTTTTCCTCATCCCACCACTTTTTTTACAAGGGGTTTGGAATTTGTGCCTTGTGCAGCCACCTCTTTCATATCCACAAGCACATCTCAGGTTGAAGCACAAAGTGCAGGATGAGAGTTGGACTACAGAGAGCTACTGCAGCTCAGGTGAAAGTACTGTTCAGTACTTCTGTTCAGAGTGGACAGAAAAGTATTTAGGGACTTGAGAGGTTTTTGGGAGGGGTTTGTGTATTGGTTTGCCTCAAGTGTTTTTTTAATCTGTCCTCCAGTGTACAAAATAGCTCCAATTCAGCATTGAATTTCACTGCAGTAACTGACATTTTCTCACCTCAATTCTTCTATAATTAGCTTGAAATTGCTTCCTCCCTCCCCTTATTTCTGAAGCCTGTCATTACTCCAAGACAAATCCAACAGCTACAATACCCATGGCTGCACTTAGGGAATTGTTTTACAGACAAAAATCCCCCAAGTGGAGCTTTAACCAGCTCTGGACAGAATTAACGGAGCCCCGTCCTGAGAGCACCCAAGCTGGGCCTACAATACAGAACCTGGCTCAAGATGTGTGCTTTGGTTTAACAAGGCTCAGCTCACCTCCTGAAACTGAAACTGCTGAGGGAAAAGTGGGGAGATGCAAAGAATCTCATGTTGTGGAGGACTTGCATCAAAATGAAGGAGCTGACCCCTGCTCTAACAGGGAATTACAGGAGTAAAACTGCAGGGGCTACCTTGGCTGGTGCAGCAGCAAATCCTGAGCTCTGAGACCACCAGTGACAGGCAAGGAGCTGATGGGACACTGGAACATGGCTGCTCCTTTAAGGCACTAAAACCTCCTTCACACAGTTTTAAAAGGTAATTTTCAGCAGACTTCCTGCAGCCCACTTTCAGAACGCTGTGTCTCACTCTGTGGTTTCCTGCAAACAGGAAAAATGCAGCCCCAAAATAGAACTTTGGTCTTTTTCTTCTTGTCAGAAGAAAAACTGAGGTAGGACAGAAAGAACATTGCATAGATTATGGTTGGGTTGTTCTTTTCACTTGCCTTCAGCCAAGTAGCAACAGCCCTGACAAAGGAGACTGAATCAGGTACAGTTTCTATTTATAGCAATCCTCAGGTCTGAAATTCACCCCATGTTTTTGGAGCCTTTTCCTCCAAAATAATATCTAATACAGAGAACTGTTCTAGTTGTGTTTAAATGGAAGAGGTTCTTTGAATTCAATTGCACTGAGGGTTTTTAAATACCTGATGTCTCTTAGGATTCAACAAAGAAGTTACAGAGTTATTACAGACAATGCTCATATGGTGACATCTTTTTCTACCATTTCCCTTTCCTAATTATAGTTTAGGATTAGGACTCTCATTCCTTACCTTGCAAATACTTATTTTATATTTATTTAGCATTTACTATACCTTGAAACATGCTTTTAAAGCAAAACTATACTCTTGCAGTATCTCAAATCCATGGACTGAGTTAAAAAACAAAATTTAAAAATCTAAATTACCATTTGGAGATTGAAAATATCTCGTTTGTATCTTAATAATATCATAAAAATAGAATGGCTCAAGGGGGTAATTAGGTCTCCACAAGAGAAAAACTTCCCTGAATAAACAATTTTTCTGTCAGAGCTGGCTGTGGATGCAGACACCAGGTGTCTTCAGTGCACAAAAATGCAATTTGTGGTAGAAGTGGTTTGCCTCAAGAGGAGCCCTGCTGTGTGTGCAGTTACACTCAAGGTGTTCCCTTCCATAAATATTTCCCATTTAGGCTGGATTGGAGCTTTTGTCAGGCTTTTTCAGCTCCTCATCCTGCACCAGTAGGATTCTCCTGATCACTCACTCCATCCGAACACAAAATTTTCGACAGAAAAAAGAAATCCAAACATAACATTTCAGAAAGTTGTTCCATTATTTTTTCCAAAATATTATTCTGGAAAAAAAAACTTGATAATTTAGACTTTGGTAAGCATTTCCATCATAAGCAGAGGTGACAATTGCTATATACAAAATTCCTGTTTGCTTTCAATTTGGTTCTAACTTTATGAAGAAACTCTGCATGGGCAAAAGTTTTTGGGAAGGTTCAGGTAAGTGCTTCAATGCCTTAAAAATACTTAGGGAAAAAAAATCTTAAAGACATGCTGAGAAAGGAACACACAAAATCCAAATTACTTGTCCTTATGAAGATCCTGAGAACAAACAGCAGAAACAATCATCCCTTACAGTGCAGACTATTGTGTGAAGAGTGAATTTTTTCAACTTCTTAATGGATTGATATTGAATTTAAGTCATGCAGAAGCACTGAAGAAGTTTAAAATCCAGCTTTGTATCCTTCTTCTCTGCTATCTTGCTTCTTGTAAAAACAAAACCTCATGTGCAGGAACACCTTTCAAAAAACAAAAAAAACCCCTGCAGCTTTGTTCATTACTCTGTGAGGGGAGACAGGAGCCAGAGAAGGGGAGATGTTTTATAGACTCTCAGGATCACCTTCTCTTTCCAATGCCCAGACAATAAAGGTTTCTCCAGTCATGTTGATAAAAAGGATAATCCTGTAGATTCCTCAGGTAACGCTGGCTCAGAGCAATTATTAAATTTACACTAAGATGTGGCCTCATAATTAAACCTGTCTGTAGCTATTAAACAGTACAGGTGGAGAACAGAAACCAAAGCAGTGCTCAGTGCACCCTGCAGATAATGAGTCTTATTTTACTACCATAGCAGAGCCTCCTAATTTAACTGAAGAGGATGATAATGACAATAACTGAGAAATATTCAGTAACTGGCCAGATAACAACTCCAGCACCTGAGGACAAAGTACTTTTGAACCATGGCCAAAGGTTTTGGTAGCATTCAACCCTGAGCTTGCAATCTGGAAATCCTACAAGCTCTAGGTCCAGTCTGCAGTCAAATTATCCTTAATTTGACAGTGTATCTGCAATTCTTTTGCTTAACCACATTTCATTATCATCCCACTTTCAACTCTAAAAGTTTTTGAGTAAGAGGCTGTGCTAATTTGGACTGATGTGAGGACTACACTGTGCCCAGTACCCTCCTGTGATAAAGCACTGCTAAAATGACCCAGATCACTACAAATATCAAAATAATATTTATAGGAGCATTACATAAAACTCTTGCAAGTCAGTCTCTACAGAACCATGATGGGATTTTTTCTTTTATGCACTTCCATCTTACCCCTTCTAAACTCGTTTGGTTTTTATTTTGCTCAAAAGTAAGCTGGGAGTTGAAGCCAACTTATTTAAGCTTGTATCCACAGACAAAACAATGAGAGCCCCAGAAAATCCTCCAGAAAATCTGCATTAGTGTTTCTTTAAAATGGGAGGGAAAAAGTGAAAAGGACTAAAATTCAATTTCTATTTGCAAAATTGTATTCCTCAAAAAAATTCCCAATGGCAATATAAATACATACAATTGCTAAAATAAAATTTTCCATCATTCCTTGAGAAGCCACCTCTGAAGCTGAGGGAAGGTGTCTAATGAGTTGCAGAACTGTTGTGCTCATAACAAGGGATTGAAGAATTGGAGAATCCTCCTTATCTGCTGCTGGAACATGTGTTGGAAGAGATGAGAAGTTCAGTACCCTGAGTAGTAAAAATATTTGACAGCTATGAAAGAACAAGTGAAACAACTCCTAACTCTGCCCTCACATTTTGCATTGTATAAAGTGCCACTATATTTCCATCTGTGCACTGATGCAAACTTCCTCCAAATGCTTTTGTGCTGAACTCTGAGCATCTGTGTATTTTAACCAGGCTCTTTCTTCTTCTCTGAAGGTCAGAAGGACGTGGAGGCCTCTGGTCCTTAGTCAAGACCAAAGTGATCCGTGCTGAGAACGCTGATCCTGGGAGAGGAAAGAACTTTTTAAGCCAACAGAAGGATACCTTAATACTGCTGCTTGTAAACTTGCAGTTTGTGGTGAATGCTGATGGTGTCAAATGATCCTGGTTCTGACCAATGGCAACTGAAGACTACAAATTAAAATTGATATGTGTGCATGGCTTGTAGAAGTGAGACTCTCTGGTGTGTGGCATTGGTTATGTCAGAGGATATCAGATCATTATCACCCATTGATATTTTGTTCCCTAGCTCAGTTTTTGGGTTAGTTTCTTTCTTGATCTTTTGCTTGTATGAGTAAGTTCCTGCCATTAACAAAGGGCAGATTGCATTCACTTCAGTGTTTACCAACTGACAACTCTGTGCTCAATTTTCTTCATGCCTACTACCTGGCAGGTGAAGAGAAGTCATCAAGATTTCCTAAATCTGAGGATTGTCAGCATCTCTTGTCCTGCTTGCCTGGAAAGCACTCGTGTGCCTTTTAAGCCACTTCTCTTCATTGTTTCCAGAATTTCATCTGCAATGGAAAGTGCAGTGTTTACAAATGAGTTGAAATTGGTTATAGAAGATAATTCTAAAATATCTGCCAAGCTGTAAAGCAAAGTTTATAAACTCTGTCCTCCTACTCTTTCAGGCAAAAAGTTTTATGCAAAATAATCTCCAACCAAACTCACAACTTACAAACTGAAGTTTAGTGTTTTGCTAGAATTCTGTATGAACTGCAGGACAAAGTGAAATTTGTAACGCCTTCTCACAAAAGCTGCCTAATAAATCAGGTGTGAAGAATAATCTTGACATTACATGATAACTTGTGGCCATCAAGCATTAGATCAGAAGGAACAATTCCAAATATTTTCTCTATACCTGTAAAATGAAAGACATCACATTTCCCACTAAGCCTTCTCAGTTAACACCACTATTCTCTTCCATAAGAAAGAATAAGCCTGGCATCATTAATTAATTCAGACTTAATTAATCCACCTTTCAGACTTGGAACTGAAATCCTGCAGAGCTGCTGGGGTCCCACACACTTTCACTTTCCAAACTAGCTTGGGGAGTTCTTAGTTTTGATACATTTGCTTGCATTTTTGGTCTAGCTGTGATCAACATTTTGATTTATACCATATTAACCCCGGTTAGGCCCATTAGAATGTCCAAGGACAGTGCTCACCTGGATTATTTTCTTTAATTGTGACCAAGTAGAATAATCCTCCTGGTGAAAGCAGGTCTGGTACTAATGGGAAAACTCTATCCATGACTTCTCTGCCCTGTTTGCCCCCAGCCCAGGATGCCTCTATTCCTTGGCTTTTCACCTAGGAAGAAGGAAAGCAAAGATTGTCATAAAACAGATTATCAGAACTGTCACAACAACAGACTGTAGCAATACTCTTTTTAATGTGTATTTCAATATTCTCCTACCTCTTCAGAAGGTGTTACCACATATGGTGGGTTAAACAGCAGCAGATCAACCTTCCCATTTAATCTTGGGGATAATCCTTTGACCTGTAGGTGAAGTTGATGATTGTGTGTGGATTTTTTTGGGAACATGAAGAGTGCAAATATTTTGTAAAAATACGGTTACATAGTTCAGTTGTTCAGCCATTTTAAATCCCATTTATTGTGGCCTACTGACATCCTCTTTTATAAACGTATAAAAGGGTTAAAGAGAAAAATTAGCTTTGCTCCATATCAATTTTTTAAGAAACTAAAGGTAACAACAGACACAAGTTCTAATTAAATCAGAAAAGGTTGAGAACCAAGAACTGCATAACTTTAGACAAAGGGCTATGATAATGTCAGGCCACTATAGAATTCCTCATGCAGCACTTTCCAAACTAAATCTACAGATTTATTTAATTAATACAATGAATTCTTAGAGCTTAATTTTGAATTTTATAGCTTGAGTAGTTGGTTGGGGTTTTTTTGGCAGTGGGTGATGTCCAGACGTCCCTTCCAACCCAAACTATTGTGTGACTCCATGATCTCCAATAAGTATTAAAAAAATTACAGAAACCATGAAAGAAACTCTTGAAACCTCTCTCTTACCAAGTCAGTGACGACAGGCTGCAGGTGAACATTGTTCAGCAGAGCTGTCTCCTGGGTACAGTAAGCTGCCATGGGGTTGATATCTGTGCATCTAAAAGGGAAATATTACAAAGCGTAAGTTATAGGCTACTGTACCTGGAAGTTTAACCTTATGAACCACAAGCTAGTTTGTAGAATCACAGAATATTCCAAGTTAAAAGGGACCCACAAGGATTAAACCCAGAAAACACAAGAGTAGGCTTAACAATTTGTCTAAGAAATGGGAAAATGGATTTCTAGTCACAGCACTACTCATTTGTTACAGAACCTGAAGTAAATAATTCACACTGCACTGTAAGCTCAGAAATGCTCAACAGGCTCTCTTTGCTTTGATTTATGTATCTGTAGAATTGAGAAAAGAATAGTTTCTAAAATGTAAAAATGATAAATATGCATGAGAGGGCTAAGCATTCTGGGCTAGGCATCCTTTATTATTGCATGCAACAGTTTAGGTGCTGTTATACTTACATGTACAGTGCACTGGGTCCGAGGATAGAAGAAGCCACAAATGTTGAAACCACACCAGACCCGGATCCTATTTCAAGGCAGATCTCGACTCTGAAGAGAGAACACTCTGGATGACTTTAGTTTGTAAGAGATACCAGATTGGTCAAGACAGCATTATAGAACACAGTGTCCTCCCAAACATGTTGAAGCACAGAATCACAGAATATCCTGAGCTGGAAGGGACCCCCAAGGATCATCCAATTCAACCCCTGGCCCTGCACAGACACCCCAACAACCCCACCCTGTGCATCCCTGTCCAAAGACTCTCTGAGCTCTGTCAGGATGCTGCTGTCACCATTCCCTGGGGAGCTTTGTCCAGTGCCCCACCAGCCTCTGGGAGAAGAACCTTTTCCTGATATCCACCCTAACCCTTCCCGACACAGCTTCAGGCCATTCCCTCAGCTCGCACAGAGCAGGACCAGCGCTGGCTCCTCTCATGAGAAAGCTGCAGACAGCGACGAGGTTTCCTCTTCTCCGGGCTGAGGAAGCCAAGCACCCTCAGCCTGTTCTCCATCTCCGCAGCCCCTCTGGAGCTCTCCAATGGCTTTAACACCCCCGTGCCAGCAATCCCCCCCAGATCATCCCTCCCGGCCCTTCCCCATCTCCGCAGCCCCTCTGGAGCTCTCTCATGGCCACTGTGCCAGCAATCCCCCCTCAGCTCTCCCCTCCCGGCTCCCGTGCCCGCCCTGCCGCACCGAGCCTCCCGCAGGCTGTTCGCGTCCCGCTCCAGCGCATCGAGCAGCAGGAAGGTGTCCTCGGCCGGCTCGTACACGTCCCGAAAGGGCCCTCGCGGGCCCAGGTGCTCGTAGCGCGGGGTGGGCAGCGCCATCCCGGCCCGCATCCGGGGGAAGGGGCGGGACGGGGGCAGGAACGGGGCGGGACGCGGCCGCACCTCCGCAGCATCGCTGGGTGACGCTCGGATGTGCTCGACGCGAAGTTGCAGCGGTGCGGTGGCATCTGATGGCGTCTGTCCAACACTGAACACCCTCGGTGTGTTTTATGTGCGATCCCCGCCGCCGGTGCCCCTGCGGGTGGAGAGGGAGGGGCGGTGCTGCTCCTGCTCCTGATTTCGGTGTTCGCTTCACAAGTGGTGTTTCCATCACCAGAACGACCACAGGGAGTCAGCACAAACCCGAAGGAAAGAGCTGCTGAGGAAGTTTCTGAGACGCACTAGGGAAACCCTGATATTGATATCCAAAATACCTCTGTTTTCTAATAATAAAAGCTCTGTTTTCTAATACTTCTGTGATTCTTAGCCAGCAACACTAGACAGCATCCTTGTGTACCAAGCATCTGAACTTCAGAGTCGCAGAAACACAGATTGATTTGGGTTGGGAGGGACCCTTAAGCTCATCTCATTCCATCCGTGCCATGGTCAGACACCTTCCACTGTCCCAGGTGGCTCCAAGCCCCATCCAGCCTGGTCTTGGACACTGCCAGGGATCCAGAGGCAGCCACAGCTCCTCTGGGCACCCTGTGCCACAGCCTCAGCATCCTCACCCAGAAAAATAATTCCTTCCTAATATTCACTCTAAAGCTACTCTCTATCCATCTGAAGACGTTCCTCACTGCGCTGTCACTGCAGCTCCTTGTTAATATTCTCTCTCCATCTTCCTTGCAGGCTCCCTTAAGTGACTAGAAGGCTGCAATTAGATCATCCTGAAGCCTTTTCTTTTCCAGGCTGAACAATTCCAGTTCTTTCAGGCTTTCCTCCCAGCAGAGCTACTCCTTCCCTCTGATCATCCTGATTCCTTCTCTGGACTCTTTCAAACAGCTCCAGCTCTTTCCCGTGCTGAGACCCCAGAGCTGGAGGCAATAATTAAAGATTGAGGAAAAATTTCAGGCCCCAGATCAGATTAATGATTTTTCTCCATGAGACCAAATTCATTCTGATCAAAAGCAGGAGAAAGAGCTGAACAGATTCTAATTCCCATTAAATGTCTCTGTTGGATTATCAATGCCCTGAACACTTAAATCCTGAGTGAGGTGACTCTCTAGGTCAGTGAAGGAAAAAAGTGATGTTAACAAAGTCAGTGCAATCAGATATCCAGAGATTAATATTCGCACATCCAAAGATCAAGTTTTGACTCAAGGTTTGTTTTTGTCCTGTCATGGAAATGAAACCACCAAGCTTTATCTTCAAATAGGCTTCTTGATCCACTATCTAAAAAAAGCAATTGTAGAAACTCAGAAGTTCAGAAAATTTCAGTTTCCAGAGTAAATTTATTCATGGACCTGATCTTGTACAAATATTACCTTTTAATTTAAAGTGTTACTTTCTCTTCAGGAGACAATACCAGCTTTTCTTGGCTCCAAAGGAAATGTAGTAGATGCTCCTTCATTTCGTCTGCCTTTCCAAAGATTTGCTGCTGTTCCAGAGAAACAAGCACTTGTAAAACATATTAAGCTTCCATAAAATTCCATTCCTTTGGCCAAATGAAGTCATGTTAAGAGACAGAATTTTGCACTGTGCCCATATTAGGAAAATTAATTCTTTGGATATATTTTTTTTAATCTCTCCAGGTGGTCAAGCTTTAGAATGCAGTAGGAGAAATGACTTCACCTCCTTCAGCTGTACTGCTTATTATTTTTGGCTGTTTCATACTTCATGAAATCTAGTTAATTATTATTGGGGGCTTTTTTTAATACTTCTAAGTCCTTGTGGGTGCATTTTATAAAACATTTATTTTTACTGCTTACATAACTACCTAGCTAAAATGTTTTTCTTGGTAGATAACTGTACTGTTTTTGCCAAAACAGATTCTCTTTCAATTTTGGGAAATTGTTGGAAAGCTGATATTCCCGTTTTTCAGCGGTGCCTGTGCCATGTTATTAAACTGGGCTTTATGGAGATGAAAAATTGATCTTGACAGGAATCATAACCATTTGTTTACACTAAGCTGTATGGCTCCATCCCATCTGGAATTCAGTGCCATGCCTCTCATACAGAATCCTTAACCCATGATTTCCTGTCTGCCCTCAAAGTCTTCCTCTCTAAAGTTCTCAAACATTTCACAGATGCATCTTCTGGAAGAGACCTAGGCCTGTGCTGGACCTGGGAATTCTCCTGTTTTGCTGCATTTGAGGAAGTAGAGCCATCAGGATAACTACAAAGAGCAGAACTGCTAAGGGAAGGCTGGAAGAAACCTCATAATTTATTTCTTCAACTGAGCAAGTGTCTCCCTAAAAGTAGATCATTTTCTTGCCATCAGTACTTCTAATCAAAAGATATCACTTTAGTGCTCTAATAATTAGAAACCTTGTAGATCCTGGCATAAATACAGAGGGGATAGGTGTTACACTCAGTCTTCTGGCAAGTATGTAAACTTAAGCAATTCTTTTCACAGTTTTTCTTGGTGGATTTGTAGGCAAAGAGAAGTTTTCATCAACCCTTGTTCTGCTTGACTAAATAAAACATGCTCTTAAAATTTTCCTGTCACAAGACATTATTTTCATTTCTCTTACCACACTTCTAGACTTTCTGCATGTGGATTTAAGTCTGACTTCACCCTGAATGTGACTGGCACAAATATTACAGTTAATACCTTACGGATGCTTTGCATAATTTACATGCTTCATTATCTCTTGTGGAACTTTCCTGGTACATGCCAGGCTCATGGTTGCACTTGCTTTGCAGAAATGTTTTTTTGCCTTTTATGATCATCTGGTTTTCCTATGTTTTTCTCAATAATTTCCAAATAACTGACCATAAGGTGAGAATTCTGTAGCATTTTATTGATTTTAATAGTTCCCTTTCTGCATGCCTGTTGCTCACATTCTGATAATTTCATTTGAAATTGATGTCTCCTGATTTCTTGTTGTCATAACGGTGTTGCCAAGGGTTCTGATGAAAACACTAAGCACAATCAGCCCCAGGACTGAAATTTCAGGAGTCGCCAGTAGTGACTGAATTTGTCACTATTTCTTTTCATTATAGTATGTTACTAACTTATATTCAGTTTCTTGTTCACTTCATGCTCCTGCTGCCAATTCCAGCTTAGTTCATGATTTTCCACATAACATCACATCTCAAGATGTATGGGAGCCTAGGCAGATTAATTTTTGGTGTTTAAAAATGGAGACAGACACTGCAGTAATGTAGCAAGGTGTCCTGCCTCTGCCACATGGCCAAAATCATCACTCAGCTGTTATTTTTAATTGTTATCCCATTTCAGTGGTACAGAGGTCCTGCTGTTTTCCTTCTTGTCCTCTGGAACACATCCAAAGCTTTTTTGCTCTAGTATTTAATATCTTCAATAGAAATATAGAATCTTAAAACTCTTTTGGTTAGAAGGGAATTTAAAGATCATCTCATTCCAATGCCCCGCCAAGGACAGGGACATCTTCCATTAGACCAGGTAACTCCAAGCTCTGTCCAACCTGGCCTCAAACACTTCAAATTTTAATCATTCTTTTTTTACATTATGTATTTTGGCTTCTAAGACACAGCTTTTTCAGTAATCAGTCTTTTATCCTATTTCTTTTTGACACTATCACATGCTTGAGGTGGTTGTTTAGCCAATATCATTGAAGACTATTCCTGCTCTTGTTCATTCCATCTCTTAGCTCAGTCAAATGCTTTCATCCCTTTCTGACCTTGGCATCCTTGAATAACATGGTCATCACTTAACCAAGGCCAAACTAATATCATCTTTTTACTGCCTTCCTGGCTATTAAGTGAAGAGCTACTGCTGCTGTTGATGTGAAAACCATTTGGGTGTCACTCATTTCTAGTCTCTGGATAATTCACTTCTTTTTCCAAGTGTCACTTCTCCCAGTGACCCTTTCTAATCATACCTGAGTTCCCAAACCTACCAAACAACAAACCTTGGGGTTTATCCTCCAATAAAACTCCACAATCTCCACAGATACTGTCAAATGAGTCAAATGAGGTTTACACACAGTTCTGTTGTATTTCTAAGGTGAACAGCTCAAATCTCTTATCACTTCCCTGCCTCCCTCCTGACTGATGAAAGTCCTTGCCCTTACCTCATTCTGCAGTACATCATGGCACGGCTGTGGGATTTTTAGACCTGCTAAGGAATGGTCCAGGGATGACATATTAGAGAGCAGGAATGCTGGATGCTTGTTTACAACCCCTCCTGAAAAGGTCCTGGAGTGCATATTAGGCTTTAAAAACCAATTGCAAGCTCTTGAAGGAATTATTACATCACTCCAATGCTGAAATGCAGCTGCCTCAGGGGAAAGGCAGGGAATTTTTAACAGTGCATAGAAGTATCTCAGCACTTCAGGAGAGAAAGTGAATAATGCCACAATCAACTGAGCAGAAAGGGAATGTTTAGTAAGTAGTCCTATATAGTTGTTTTAACTGGATTTAGGCCAGAAACCTGGGGAAAACCTGCTGCTAATGGCAAAAATGGAATTGGTGTTTTTAAGTCACCAATGTCCTTTGGTTTTCATTTGCATATTAAGCCACAGCACCTAAAGCAGCAAAGTTGTGGTGGAGTTTTCTTTTATACCTGGTTACCAACATTTCCTCCTTCAGTGAGTAGGAATGATGTCTGATTTCCCCAGGAACTCACAAGAAATTAAGTCCTATTCAGGCCTGTACAGAGAAGCAGCAACACCACAGTCAGTTGGTTATTTCAATTATTCAGTGCTAGAGAAAGCAATAATTAACACCAATTTTGTCTCATCATAGGCATCTGAGTGGATTTAAATGCACCCCACCAGGTCTTTACCTATTTTAATTTATATTTTTATTGGCTTCATTAGAGGTATAATCACTCTAGCGTCCATAAACAGAAGATAGAAAATCTAGAAAACACAGTTATAGTTGTCCTCATACATTTCAGGATAAATATATTGTCATCAATCAAAAATAAATCAGCATCA